AGGAAAGAACAAATTTGTTGAGGGGGAAGTCAGTATGTTTCTTTGACTTTCTCCACAGGAACAAAGCAGAATGTGAGCATAAATTAAGAGGGTGAATCCCAAAGGTGAGTGAGCTCTAAGGAGTATTTAGAACACAGTCAAATTTTTTAAATATACTGCAAATTAAGACATGCAGGGGGAGAAATAATTTTATGTGAACAAAATATGAAGCATTCGACGGTAAGTAAACTGTGAAAGGATCTTCTTGTTAGAGCTTCTGTTTCCTCAAAGGTAGGTGCTGAGTAGTAAACACTGCTATTATTGGGTAAAAATATATCCAAAATTATAAATTTTTAATTAAAAAAAACACATCAGGTTATAAAAGTACTAAACACCTTTGAAACCTTTTTTTTAAATTTGAAATAATGGTTTGGCCTTTAGTAAATTCCCAATTGAGCAAGACATTCAAATTAATAAAAATCTATATAACTGAAAAGTTATCATAAAAATGTCACCATTGATGGAAGATGGCCTAAACTGAATCTATACAACACGTATGCATATTGTATTCCTCGAAGTTCAAGTTAAACTATATATATGATAGCTTAGTATTGTTGATACCGAGATTAAACTATTAATTTATAACTTGAATTTTCTATTAAAGTTATAATTCCACAAAGAAGCCTATAATTTGACAAAAAGGGAGAGATGCTTTTGCTAATTCATGTCTTTAGATACAGTCAAAGGAAATATCTCCTAAGGCAGAGGGAGAACACATTCATATCCTGGAGCCTAAAGAGAATGACCTTTTATTGACAGGAGACAGCAAATGTGTGACCGTTCATGGGTGTGCATGTCACTATTCAAAGAGGATACTTAAAACATATACTCAGTGCAAACACGTATCTGAAACAGTAGCGCCTTCTATCAACTTTCAAAGGCAGCCTTACTTGTGCCAAGTGGCAGCCCAGCAGACAGTGGCATCAGACCTAGAAGGACTGTGGCCTGTATAGCATGCAGTGAAGTGCAGTGCTCTACTTGTTTGCAATGGTTTTATTTTTCGACTAGTTTTTATCACACTTGGCATGAACAAGGGAACATGTGCTTTGCTAAATTTGAACTTTTAAGATGAAACTGAATTAACTGAGAACCAAAAAATTGCTTCTGAATTATCCTAAGATTGAAAAATGCCTTTCCTTTCACACAAGGAATGACAAAACAAAAGACAAATACATCTTGGAAAAGTTGAAATGTGAGCAAGGAAGATCCTGTGGTTTGAGAACATTGTTGACTTTTTTCTGTTTCTAGGAACCTGAAATAAGATTATAATGAAAAGCCTTTTTCTCATACAGGACATTTCTGCTAACATGAAGATATGTACTAAACCAAAAAGCTAAATAAACTTAATATGAGCATGAAACCTAATAGAAGCAGTATTTATTTTGTTCAATTAGAAAGTTCAATTAACTTGCCACTCCTTAAAACTCTGAGCGTCGACCTTTGAACCAGGAGATCATGGTTCCATTCCCTGTCAAGGCACATGCCCAGAGTTGCGGCTCGATCCCAGTAGGAGGAGTACAGGAGGCCACCGATCAATGATTCTCTCTCATCATTGATGTTTCCATCTCTCTCTCCCTCTCTGAAATCAATAAAAACATATTAAAATATATATATATAAAAACTTAGTATAATAATATGTATATATAAAACATTACATATAAACATATTTTATATATACATAAACATATATACTAAATACATATAACCCTTGCCCCAAAATTTAAAGTTAAGTTCTATTCTTCCTTTTTCCTACTAGTATTGGAACAAAATAACTATATTGGCTAAAATGACCAGAGGCCTATCCCTAGGGATGCTCTCTTCTCTTAAATTCCCTCTTCCTCTTCATAAAAAGTGTGCCAAGACACCTAAATGTAAATGCTTTGTATATAAAGGGAGTGCCATGTCATGCAGAGTTGAAAGCCAAAATAATTTTAATATAAAATTCAAGTTATAAAGCACAGGATATGTTTATAAGGAATCTAGTGATAAGTAATAGGTCAAACTACCTGAAAGAATCAGCTTGTGGTACAAGCTTCACTGCATTAAGAATGTCACAGTTAGTGTGTTTATTAAATTAAATATTACCAGCAAGGGTCTTCTAAATGCCATGTTCCTAATACTAGATTACATATTTATTTCAGAGTTAGCATAGTAAGAGGGGGGGCTATCACTAGAAAGCCTATTAAGCCATGATTTTATTTTTTCATTGCTTTAATGGAACTATTCAAATCAAATTTTTCACGCCATGCCTTGAACACCACCGCAAACCATACTGTGGGTGTAAAATACATGCAAGGCGGATATAATCAGCTCAGATGAGACCTGAGTCTTAGACACCATCAAGTTTACTTTATTGTGAAAGCAGTGGGGTTTTCTTTCAAGTGAATATATTTTTAAATACGTTGCAGCCTGACTTACAACCTGGAGACAGGAACCAGGGAGATACACAAATCTCAAAGCCACCAAATTAAACCCAATATAATGCCTTAAAACTTGCCTAGTTTGTCCCCGTCTTCCCTGACTCTTATTTTACCTTACTGTTCTGGCAAAAGAAGATCTGATTGTAACTTCAACAAATCATATACATTTAATGTGCTTAAAAAGTCTCCCCTAACTTTTAAAAGATTGATTTTACTGATGTTAGACCAAAAATGTACTTTCTTTTTTTTCCAAGCAAATTTATTAAGAATCAAAAATTTACTCTTTCAAATAGTAAAATTCATAAAGCAATTGCCCTTCTAGTATCAGAGTTAATTAAATATTGTGAAAACTGAATGTGTATCACTAGTATTTAAAGTTGCTAACTTAAGTAAGTTTGTCTAAAAATAATAATTGTTGCTGTTTCCTCTGGGGGGATCTAGACTGGTTTGTTTTCACACAGGATCATAAACTCTGTGTGCTTTTTCCTACCCCCATGGCTAACATGCCTCCACGATATGATGATATACACAAGAAAGAGATGCTGCCCCTGAGGACAGGCTGAGCATTTTATAAGTCACTACGAACACACACACACACACACACACACACACACACACACACACACACTGCCCAAATGTCGCCAGAGATATTTTTCATTCTCCTGTTAAGATAAATGGCCTGTATTCAACAAGGCCTTTGCTCCTGGCCTGCACCCTAAACAGAAAGCAGAACATCCTTGAAAGCTTCGGTGCCAAAAAGAGAAATACTTAACATCACAAAAGAAGGTGGATCACGGAGCGTTTTCGCAGTGGGAGTTATAAGAACATGTAACTGCAGGAGGTGACGGGGTTCAGAAAGTTCTCTCTAGGCCCTAAATGACTGCATTGTAAGCGCTCGGGTGCTGTAAGTCGGTGCTCAGGAGGCAGAAACAACTAGAATTTTGAAACAAACAGTTGGGCACATATCTGCTAGGCCCAGCCGGCTTTCCCGCCCGCAACCCTAGTCCACTGCCCGGCTCGCCTCCCTGCGAGAAGGGCGCGCCCTCGGGCCAGACCCAAGGCCGAGGGCCTGGCTCCCCCGGGCTCCCCCGGGCTCCCCCGGGCTCCGCGGGCCTAGAGCGGCCTGGACTCCGGACCCGGTCCAGGGCCTGGACCTGGGCTCGCAGTCTAGACCCGCCTCCGGGACCCCGGCCCGAATTCCCTGTCCAGACCCCTAACCTGGACTCCCGGCTGGACGCACGGCCCGAAGAGCCAAGCGCAGCCGCCCTCGCGCGCAACGCGAAGCCGGACGGCCATGGCCCTGGCTCGGCGGCTTGGGAACGGCCGATCCCCTGCAGACGTCCTTGCCCGCCCACCTGGCACCCAGTGCGCCCCGACGGCGCTGGGCCGGGGCCACGCTGCGGCCTCGCCCGCGGGAGCAGGACCGACCTGCCGCCCGGGCCGCAGCCCAGACCGCGGGGCGCTGGGCTCCCGCCCCGGTGTACAACGACCGCGGCGTCCGCTCGCAGGTTAAGAACCGGGTTAGGCCAGCACTCTCGGCGGGGGCCGCACCTCCCCTGCGCGCTCGGCTCCGGCGGGCGGCTGGGAGTGAGTTAAGATGGCGCGGACTGGGAGTAGCGGGAGGGCTGAGCCAGAATGGAGTGCTAGCCGCACGTCCCTTTCTTTTGCTTTCCTCTTTTTTGAAAATACGCTGCTTTTGGAAAACTGGGAAACTCTGCAGATAGCGGGGAGGAATCGCCATCCCTCTCCGTCCTCACTCTGACCCCTACCCTCCCGGAGATGGAAAGGCGACCCGAAATCTAACCCGGGCGCGTACTGATCTCCCGCGGCCTCCCAAATCCAAACTCCGACCGCGTGGGCACAGCAGCAGCCTCGCAGACGCATGGCCAGTGTCGCTTCACCAGACACCCCCAGGCTTCTTGGGAGCGGAGAGAAAGACATGACCATGCTTGAAAGGGACCAGCAAGCACACTGCCTCCGAGAGGAGCGCGGAGCTGCAAATTTACCTCGTGCCGACTCAGTCCGCACAGCAGATGGTGGCAGAGCTGATAGGGAAACGACCTCCCTCATTTTTCAAGTGCTTCCTAATAGCAGCTCAAGTGCGTCCTTCAAGGACAAGTCACTACGTGCCTGTGAAATCTATGCTCGGCTCCTAAGAGCTTCCCTTGCGCACAGGACACCGACTCCTTTGCTCGCGGTGCCGGTGGTCCGGGGGCGGCGGGCCAGGCCGCGCTGCGGCTCCCACGCGCCCCACGCGCTCGGGCCTGGGCCCAGGCGCCCTCCCCACCGCACGTGCGCCCCCTGGGCCCGAGGTCGCAGGAGCGCAGCCCCAGTGGGGGGATCACAAGAATACACTGCCCGGCTTCACCCACTAGCCACGCTTTATACTTCCTGTCCTCCTGTTTGGTTCTTAGGTGTGAGAAGGGAGAAAAGCACAAAGGAAAATCAGTCGTCGCGTTTCTAGATAGCAGACAGCACTCCGCGGAACGCCGTCTAGTGGCGAAACTGTCCAGGGAAGGCAAATCGGTTTCGCTCCCCACTCTAATTTTCATTGCCACTGGAACTTTGAAGCCTTCTTTGCATGACAAATAGTGGAAGTGAGACAGGACGATCTCTAGGTGAAGGTAAATGTAGTCCTGTAACCTGAAACTGGCCCCGACTAAGCAAGAATGTTGAGCCATTTTCCACCTCTTTCCTGGATCTCCTTCCTCTGGAGGCAAATACACAAACCGCTTCTCCACGAGGTAAAGGCAGAGCTGTGCGGACCCCTAGACTAAGACGCAGCGACCCCCTCCCCGAGCTGGAATATCCACATTTCTGCATTTGTTCTCCAGGGATGGGGATCTGGCTTAGGCATGGATTCCACTGGAGAACGGATGGAGCAGTGCCCCCCAATACGTCCCAAATCAAGTTTTAAGTTCCGTGGCTAAAAAACTTGACCTTTCACAAGTTGGTCACCCCCGCTCCAACCCCGCCAAACACCTCCCAACCCCCAAACCATCCATTAAAGAAATGTAGGCCATTCATTCTGTGTTTGCATTTACAGATTCCACACTGGTGTCCAAGGCCTCGTATTTAAAGACAATTTTCGACTTCTGCCTAATGCTGCGGTCAACAGCCTAATTTGACATGCATTTAAATTACACCCTACTCTTACTCAAAGCCTCACGCCTTACTTTGTAAAATTTAAAGAAATTTTTAACTCCTTACTAAAGACCCTCCGTTTTCCTGCTTGAATTATTTCCAACTTCTAGGGTCAGACATATGATGAAGTGAATACATTTTCCTGGGGGGGGGGGGGGATGAGTGCAACGAAGTGAAGTGACTCAGGGAGCCAAGTCACTGTAAATAAGAAGGAGAAGGGATTCACTGGCAATGCTATAAAACCGATTTAAGAGGGGAGTGGGAGGTGGTTCCCATCGAACAGACTGCCCCATACTGGAGTGGGGACAGGTCATTCTTCCTTAACCCTTAAAAGTTACTGCCTATAATAATTAAATTATTCTCAAACTGTAAACTGCTTTCAAACACCATAGTGTTTTACCAGATTTATTTTACTTGTTGTACACAGACGATACAAACGAGCAAAAAACAAAACATTTCTCAATGGAGTGTGTACTTGTATAAATTATTCAGTTCACAGACAAAACGAAACAAATATAAAAATCACAACATTGGATTTACAGGAGAGCCAAAGTATACACACGTTTAGACCCTGAATTCCTATTAGGAAAAATCCCCCCATGGACTGGAATCTAGATTGAATATTGTGTATGATGCATATTTCACATTAATTTTAAAATACAAAAAAAAGTATAGGCTTGCTACACAACATTAGAAATCCTACTAATCTATTTCCAGGGAGATAAATGTTTCTTATCAAATATAACAAGACTTAGAGGGGAGAGAATCAGTCTTACTTGCATTAATGCTAGAGTTTTCCCAAGAAAGTCAAATTGCAGCTGTTTCTAGGTAGTGGGGGAATCATTTTCAAAACTAAAATGCAGTAAAATATACAACTCACAATTCATCTTCACTAGACTACACTATAGTTACCAACAATTCAGTCATCTATATGATTAGGGGAATCGTCATTACAAAGATTTACAGCATATAAAGGTGGAGGGGGGGCTGAAGATATTCAGAAACAGTTTGTCAGCATATTTGGCACCTGCACAGACCAGTCATGAATTTGGCACTTTGGGGAAAAACAAATAAGGCAAAATAATATTGCTATGTTGAGCTATTCTATTTAGAAGGAAGGAGGGGGAAACATACAATTCCAGTTAACTTTGCTTTGCAGGCTTCATGCCGCTTAATGGACTTGCCTAGGAACAGACACCTGTCCTTCTCAGGTGTCTGCTCAGGTTCTCCGTAGCTACTTGTGTGCACGAGGGCACAGAGCAATTACTTCATGCAATGGATTGAGGAGAAGTGAGAAACTCATCATTCTATCTATCAAGTATTTCAGGTTTCCAGAGCCTCTTAGGATATTGTTAATTATCTCTCAAGAAAAAAAAAATTGAAGGGGAAGAGGTGGGTGGAGAAAAAAGGCAAAGAAATGAATGAAAAGGTTAAGCAGGAACTGGTTTTGTGCCTTGACGATGAGAATAAAAACTAGCCATTCATTACAGTAAATTAACACTATATACAGTCATTTCACAGGCTTTGTTCCACTGAAAGTATTAACATCCCTACCATCCATCCATCCATCCATTCGGGGATAAGAAAGGACGCGCTGGGTGGATCCAGGTTCAGAGTCAACATCCTAGGGTTCATGGGGAGGCCGAGACCGCCGGGTCGGCATCGCTGCTGCCTGACAGGCTGCCCCAGGTCTCCCAAAGGTGAAGAGTTGCATGACAAGAACTAGAAGGAGGGGGCGAGGAAAAGACAAGGGGGGTTGGGGGTTGGGAGAGAAGTGTGTGTGGAGTATAACTTCACAGAAGGAGAGGAAGTAGGAAAACCAAACGGTTTACAACCAAGTGGAAGGTCGGTGCGGTAACTGCAGAGACTGCTGTGCCAACACGGGTTACAGTCACATCCGCTGCGGGCGGGTCATAGCGGGTCCACTGACACGAGGAGATGCGCAGGGTGGGGGCGGAGAGGAGGCGCGGGGCCGAGCCCGGGAGGGGGTTGGCGGCGACCGGGCCAACTGGAGAGCGCGGGTGCCGGGCGGGCAGGGCCCGCCTAGCAGAGCATAGAAGAAGCCGTAAGAAGCTGCCCCAGGCCTTGGAGACATTTCTTCTCGCAGTCCCGCTGGGCCAGTCACTCGCTCCTTGATCCGTCGAACAAGTCTCCCGATGCGGGGTGTCGGCTGGCTAGCATCCGCCGCGCTTGTCCTGCTCCGTAAATCC